AAGGAGTGGATGCATCTGCGCCACTGAGAACGATTTTAAGCCATATCACCAACTGAAGTAATGTACTCCATTTGGTTGAAAGCCAATTGTAAAAAGTTTACGTGTACATTTTGACACCCAATGATATTACTTAGGGACCGTTAGTTGTCTCACGTATTAGGATATACTGACACCCAGAATTATACCTTTCCCCCACCCTAAGTTTAGTAGAAAATGGTGAGCCATCAGATTGTAAATACTTCAAAATACTCACGAGAGTAAATCCATACCATTAGAGGTCATATTTTACTCAATGAAAACAAAGAAAACATAAATTATATGCAAAATAGTGATGGAAGATTTTTGATATAAGAATAGAACTTGTGCACCCGTTAAGGAGTATAATTCCACATTAGGGAAAGTAATTTAGAAAAAAAAGCTCAGTAATCCCACAGCACGCATTGACACACAACCATACTATAGGGTGGGAGAGGGTTAAAATTCTAAGAAGTAATATAAGTAGGTAGAAAGAGAGGATGATTACTGAATCCTGCCTGGTTCATCGAGCCTACACCCAACACGTGCAATAGGAATGACTCATCATCATCACTCATACCGGAGATATGGAAAATACTATCGCCAGTCAAATCAGGCGATGGAAAATAATGGAAGTATGAGTAACTTGATATGATTATGAGCGGCAATAAATTGTGCTCGAAACATGGTCATCAGTGAATATTACTGCATAACACTATGAGACTTATTCAAACTCTTAATGGTAACCCAAGTGGTAAGCAGGCCACTGTTTGTCAATTTACATCACAATAAAGAATTGAACATACTATTTACGCATTGAAAAGAAGTAATCGATGCGAAATATATCAGTAACATAAGTGTGGAATAATGTTAGTTGTTAGAAACCACTGACACTATAAACAGGATAGTCAGATCAAATACTAATGGACGCTAGTCATATTTTAGGCAGTCTGAAAGCGTTGAAAATAATCAACAGTAAAATAAAAAGAAATCTAGCTTCCTACATTTTGTTGAAGCAATCACCAAATCTACGTTAGAGTAGCTTGAAAGTCCTCATTGAGTCATATGAAAAAGAGAAGACGTTTAGCGAAGAGACTCTTTTCGACGGCTAATTCATTCACATAGCTGTACAATCACATTTATATAATATAATTATTTGTGTGTATGTGTACATGAAGTTTGTCAAGTTTAGAACGGGTAATTAATCAGGTAATACAAGAATGATCTAATATAGAAACAAGGTTAATTAGACAGCAACTAAAGTAAGACTGAGTTAGTTAGTTAGTTAGTTAGTAAGTTAGATGACGTAATATAATTGACTAAAATGTTTCAACTCAGGTCAGGATAGCAACAGAAGTAATTACAGGTAGAGAGAGACTAAGTAGAAGTGGGATAGAGAATAATGCCATTTAAATTGGAACTGAAATTGAACAAATAAGTTGGATGACGTAACATAAATGACTAGAAATTGAGTGTTGATCAAGTCACAGTAACAGTGGTAGTGAGATGCAGGAATTAAATCGCATGGGGGTAGAGGACAAGAAGGTTGAAAATGTAAAATATTACAATTGAGAAGACGAAATAATACTCATGAAGAGAAAGAAGAGAAAAGGATTAGGTAGAATTTACTTGTCGGGTAATAAGATAGATTACATCCATTGCAAATGTAGTGATTGAACGAACTTCTTCTGTATGCAGAGTTCAGGACTCAGCAAGTGAATCGCCATTGTTTCTGTCGTTTGAAGAAGTCTGATTCGTACATCTTTAGGAAGACTACTTCGTATTGTGTTGTAGACAACTTTGAAGTTTGTTTGCGGCGTAGCTTGGTGTCCGGATTCTATCAGATGTTCTAAGATGGAGCTGTGGGGCCACCGATTTTCTTTTTTGTAAAACCATGTTGGTAGGTGTTCGGTGATACGTCTGGAAAGCGAACGCCGGATACGGCCGACATACCTGGCTCCACACGACCAGGTGAACTGATAGATACACACTGATGAGGTGGCCAGCAGTGGTAGCTTATCCTTCACGTTCACATGAGTCATAGGTTTTGTGGAGAAGGTTAGTCGTAGTTCAGCTGCGAACAAGGTCTTCTTAAGTGAGCACGACAGACGACTTTTTAGTGTTTCCGCAGATATATCTCCACTGGATTGAAGGTTCACGTAGAGTAGATTTTTTTCGGGACGCTAAACACGGGCGGCTTATGTGGTCTAGGATTCATAGATTTTGCAATAAATCGTTCTGGATAACAATTCTCGACAAGCATTTTCTTGAGATTGTCCAGTTCATCTTCTATGGTGTCCGGGCTGCAAATTCTGCGAACTGTGTAGCTGAGTGAACGGATCAGGTTTCGATTAGTGTATAAGGGTACCCAACTGTGAAAGTTGGTAAGCTGTCCGTTCCACGTGGACTTTCTGTGGATAGACCTTTTCAGTATTCCATCCTCTTCTCGTCTTGTTAGTTGGACGTCACGAAAGATAAGCAGAAAGAGACAAAGGTTAAATCATTGTACAACCATCATGACTATACTTGGAAAATAAAGTTATATAATTACATCTTATATATTCTCCCATAGCTTCTCTCCTTTTTTGCAAATTTTCACTGTTTCATCTGAACGTTACTCATTCTAACCTAGAAAAAATATATTTTGTTCAGTTACGCAGCCTACTATTACTGTAACAACAGAAGACAAGGGCCAGGCAACAGATCGTTTATTAAGGAAATTAGCACGTATTTATATATGTTTCATCTACATTATTATAGCTTATTCAAGCAGACAAACATAGACTTCTCATTGGTTGTTTCTTGCTCAAGGTTATTCTGTACTGCTTGTGACTGGTTTCTCGGAAAGTTAAGCCATATATCTGCGAATCGTATTTGCCCACGTTAAGTCTGCTGTGATTGGTTGTTGAATCAGCCTTGTTCATATTTTCTCACGCCCAATATTAGTGACCTAGACATTGACGTAAATTAATGTCTACCAATTGGCTAGCAGCCTGCTCTCACCACACTACTACTTACTAGTTAAACTTTGTTTCTGCCCAAAGATTTTGAAATCTAAAGAAATAATGTGAATTTTAACAGCCTTACGTGTGAATGAATATATATATATATATATATATATATTATTGGGGAAGATAAAACACGAAAATATCGAGTAATAGTCAGAACGAGGGGACTTAGACTCGCAAACAAACTTTACAGTAACCGTAAATTTCCGTTCACTTCTTATGTAGAAGAAATCAAAAATCAAAAAAAGCGTTTGTAACGAAAAAAAATTTTTCTTCATTTACGTCAGATACTAACACCCACAAAACAGATTCTCTTGATCATTCAAAAAAATATATATTAAAGAACTGAACGGTGGTAGTCTAGGAGAAATGAAGAATATGTACCAACATATATATAGAGATAGATAGATAGATAGATATATGTGTTTATTCATATTACAGTAATCTCAAAGAGAAACCATTTTACAAAATGTGAATACAACTCTTCTGCTAAACACAAAATCACACACACATATTTATTCCGTTCAAAAGAGCCCACAGAGATCAATTCATTATTTGATTGATCCAATAAAATCCATACAGGAAAATATAAAAGCAAAAACAAATCACGAAAATAAACAAATATCAAAATTATACGAATTGTACATTAAAAATAGATGGCACTTTCAGCGCATGGCTTAGCATCAGCGCCAGCACCAACAATATAATGTGACTGATAAGTTTAGTTGGAAGCATCATCATCATCATCAGGGAATAGGATTCAACAATCAGCCACATCTAAATGAGAGGTGTAGCAAGTCGTAGGTGAAGCAAAAAGCATACGCTTTGAATTCAAGTACCACTAGGTACCGGACTACCTACCTGCCTGCCTACCTACCTACCATCACAAATAGACAAAAGCTTATCAGTGTGATCATCTTTAACACCGACAGAATGCTACAAATACGTCTGAAGATATCTCGATCTCTTTTAAACATCTGAAAGTCTCAAGATCAATAAAGTATGCATATATATATATATACGCGTATGCTTCACTAACTAATAAAATGGTCGCTCAATCGTCTCCAAAACAAAATAGTTATATGACATAATTTCTTTAAAAAAGTTGAAAGGCAATACATTATATCATATAAATACATATTGAGGCTATTTCATTGAAATGTCAATTATGTCATACCTTCTCTTTCTTTATGCGGCTTTTATATAAAATGAATTAACCAAATTGACATAGAGATGGTTGAAAAGTGATACTGTAGTCGCCTCGTGCATACACGCACACACAAACCTGGATACACATGAAATAGAGTTAGGGGAAATACGGTGTACTGATTACAGTTAACTGAACCGATAAATTACCTCTTTTGAAGGGTCAAAGGGTAAAAAGTAGATAAGATGACCACAACAACACGCAGAAAAGCCTTGTCGTAGATAATAATAATTAATAAAGTCCCATAAAAAACAAAAAAATGATTCAACATTGGTTAAAAAACAAAAGAAATGATCATTTAGGCACAAACATGTTGTAAAGAAAGACAAATTAAATTTTAAAAGAAAAGGCAAAAAGATTGAGTACTACTCATCATCAGCCTGTCTAACATCAATCCTGGTTGATGTTTGTGCGCGCGTCTGTCTATGTATGCATGTGTGTATGTATGTATGTGAGTGCGTCTGTGTACCATGCATAAAATAAATCAAACGTTATGAACGATTTGGTCACACATAGTGTAATAAGGCACAAATCTGTCAGTCAACAGAAATAATACTGTGAAAATGATGATAGGCATAAGAATGGTGAGAGAAAAAACAGATAGTTAGTTGTAAAAACTGACCAAAAGAAAAGCATTGAAAAAAAATAAAATTGCATATTGTGAAAGAATAAAAATCAACAACAAAAAAATTGAAATGAATCTCTCCATATCATCATCATCATCATCATCATCATCATCAGCAGCATCATCATCAACATCGTCACCGACATTAAGGCAATGGGTGTAGAACACGAACATAATTCGTTGGGAAATGACCTTCTTGGCCATTCAATTCACCTAGGTACCAATTTTCATCAACCTGTTTAATTTTAACAGCAAAAATACAAAATATTATTATTATCATCAAAATAACAGACAAAAAAGGCTTTCCAAGTGTTGGTTACTCGCTGAAGACATTGACTAGGGGTCGCGCTATGTCGTGAAATGGCAGAAGTTAGAATTCATGGACTAGACATTGAATCGGAGGTCCCAGTGGCTTAATGGTATACGAGCTCGCTGGCCTTGTAACCAGAAGGTCCTGGGTTCGTATCCCGGTGGGTGCGTACTGATGAAGTCTCAAACTAGGCTGACGAAACAGCTGTCCAGTACTCCCTGTAGGTTTTCCAATGGTTCTCTAACTAATGTCAGCTCATGACGAAAATCCTGCGAAAAAAGGCTTTGTTGAAAAATGTTTGAACTATAATAATAATATCAGCGTGAAGGAGAACAAAGTGTTGGGGCGCACACACACACACAAACATTCAAAAAAATCTTGGTTTGATATTTTCTAACCTAATTGGGATTACTTTATACAATCTTATTATAATAATTCATTCAGATTCGGCGCTGAAATTACCATTCCAGAAAAGTCTTCATGATAATTCATGAATAAAAGATGGTTACAGAATCTGAGATACCTAGTGATGAATAACACTCGATATATGCAAGGGGTTACATTTTGTACACCCTCGTGTACATGTGTTTGGAATGAGAGTTTTCTAACTTCCATAACCTGCATGTCCTCCAATCTGGTTGTAAGCGATAGATGTTCGCATTCGCCCTTTCCCTTTTGCAAGGAACAACCACCCCCATAAAGCCAATGAACAGAACTTAACTCACACAGGCGACAAACGTATTAGGACATTTCAAGGGGAACACCGAAGTCTACCTACCCTTAGCTGTACCAGGAAGTTTATGTGGGCTAACATAAATATCACTTTGTGCATCAAACCCCAGCGAAAGAAACTCAATGCAGACATCTGTCCTACTAACTGAAAACGTCAGTTTTTAGACTAACAAGGAAGAAATCTTAAAAACGAAAACTTCCCAGTAATTCAATTTCATCAACAAACAGACTCGAAGATTAAAATAATTCAGTTTCCAACACACTTAACCACCCACCTAATTGACGACATGGCCCTTTGCATATTACAAGGATGAATACACTCTTTTCATAACAGAAATATGTTATTCACTCACTCGAACAGTGACCGGAGGGAATTATTATATTATTATTATTCCCTTGGGTTATGAGTGGAACATAGGGCTTCAACAACAACACATTTCCACTTTCTTCATTTCTCCGCTCTCCTCTTCAGCTGGGTCCACAATTGCCCATAATCTTCACCTCCTTCTCGCCACACCACCTCCTCCATGTCAACCTCACACAAACGACCCACTCGTCGCTTCCCATTCGGATTCCACTCGAACAATGGCCTGCATTGCTCGTGATGTCATTCGACGACCTCCTTAACGTATGCCCGATCCATCTCCATATTATCTCACATATTTTTTGAGCAATCGGCTCTCGCCTGTTGATTTGTTCTCAACCAGATTTTCATCTTACTAATTCTTTCTGGCTAGTTAGCCATTTGATCTTCATTATGGAACCAGCAAAGCGGGCAGATATTGACAAAAGTCTCTAACTGGCTGTCGGAAATCCTATTGCTACACGCATTGCAAGTTTCTGACCCATAAAGAAGAACTGACTGACTGACTTCACATTTGTGATGAATACAATCCGAATCTTGTTTTTCATACTGGCTGGTTGAGTGCGGTAAAGAAGATTTTTAAACTGGTTTCATGTTGATGTAAGTGTACCTTGCCTTTCCGATTCTGGCTGGCTGTCTGACTTTGGCATCTTCAATCATTCCGTGTCCCTGTCGTCGAAACAATGCTGGCTTTCCAGATAAGCGAAGGAAGTAACTTCTGTCAAATCTCTCCCGTTGATGGTGATTGGTGCTGGTTGTTGTTGGTGGTGTTGATGTTCGTTGGTTATCTTCATCACTTTAGTCTTCTCAATGTTCACCAAAAATCCTTTCTTCGCTGATATCCATCCTCTTCTGCCAGTTTGTTAGTTTCCACCTGCCTCTAAGTCTTCGAGTTTGTGTGACATTAAACACACACATCATCTATGAAATCCAGATCTTCTACTGTCTTCTTATCGGTGTTCCAGAGGATTCCTGTCTCCTCGCTCCTCGTACACAGTCTGACTGGAGAGAATATTGTTCATTAAAATAGGCGAATTGAAGTCGAACAGCTTTAAGGTATTAGCATAGTTGTGCTTTAGAGATAAACAAGTAGTAATCAGAAAAATGCACATTAATACTATTCAACAACCCGTCCCAATTCTATGCATTTGGCGATGAGACACACCAAATAATTTGTGAAGGCTAGTAACGCTTATCTGGCTATCGAAACCTTGACAAGCGGAACACAGTTTCCAAATCCATTTTATATTTCTCCTTTACATATGAACACATTTGTTAAGAAATGTAGAAAAGCCTTTTCTGCTCAAAAAACAAACAAAAAACAAGCCTGAAATAGAAATAGTGAACAAGAATGAGACTAACCCTCCCCCCCCTCCCATCAAATGAAGACACTTACCTGTTCAATTAACTTGAGCATATCACCTTCACGAAATGATAATTCAAAAGGACTTTCAGCATCAAAATCATAAAGTGCAATACATGCAGGTGTTTGTTTTGGTGGTGGGTCTAAAAGTGGATGAAAATAACAATAATAGTAAGAAGAAAATAAAACAGTTAGTTTTAATATATATTTTAAAAAATAGGATAGAAAAAAACACAATTTAATATTAGAACAAGAAACATCTCGAAATATTTACTTCCATACGATGGTCCACTTAAGGAAAGTGTAAATTATTCATGAAGTATTGAGGCTTGAATATCGGTCAGTCAACTTGTTATGCTATTGTCAATCGATATCCATAACACATATCGTGAAATAATGGCTGAATAAGACTGATCCGTCATGAAAAGGTGAAAGACGATCCAATCAATCATATGGTACATATTATTTTTTATTACAGCTTGATTCCACACTGTATTTTTGGTACAAGTATGGAATTTTCAGCGTGGATATCGGTAGCCCGAATTTCGCAGGCCGACCATAGATATCAGGTGTGCGTCGGCTCGAACATCGGACTATATGGATGGTCGGCGAAAGTCCTGTGCGTCGGTGGCACAGTGGTTAGGACTCTCGCCGACCACGCACATGGTCCGGGGTTCGAGCCCACACCGACGCACACCTGATATCTATGGTCGGCCTGCAAAATTTGGGCCACCGATATCCATGCTGAAAATTCCATACTTGTACCAAAAATACAGTGTGGAATCAAGCTGTAAATCAAAAATCAAAAAAAATCTAATCACTGTGCCACCGACTCACATAGAGAAATATTAAAATATTAAATTCATATGAGAAGAATCCCTTTTTAGATGTCCTAATCAAGAGAACAAAAACAGGAAATCAACACACACACAGACAGATCAAACACTCAACTATGACAGCAATAATCTCATAGCCCACAGAAGAAACTGTGTGCACACATTGTTTAAAAGAGTCCAAACACTGTAGCAATTTAGTGCTGAAGAGAATAGAAGATAAATATCTACTAACTGTCTTCGAGAAGAGTAAATAACCTATACAATTTCATCAAAAAAGTTTAAACTCAAATCAAAATACCAACAAGAAACCATCGTCCAAAAAAATGGGAAAATTCAATCTGTGGCGAGTACTACTGATACGTCTTATCAGTAGTATATAAATAGACGTTCATCAGCATAAAAATATCAAATAGCAGAGAGATAGATTTGACGTTAAAAAGAGGAAATGAACCAGCGTTGCAGTAACACATAAGAGACAAGAAAAGAGGACAAAGAAACACAAAGATCTGTGCAAATGATGATTACAAGATAAGGTGTACATAATTTATAAAAGTTTTAGTATTTCTCAATGCGTGAATGAAAAACAAAACGATATACCTGCATTTACTGATGTTTCTCTATTTAATGCTGCTAATAGCTTTATCAAAGTAGTGATTATATTAAACCAGAATTTATAAAGTCTCAGCTTATACACAGCAACTTAATCATCGTTCATCATCATCAGCATGGGGTATTTTTACGTCGTCAAGTTGGCCAATTGGTAAAGATAATAGAACCAAGTATAAATTGTTGGATTTGATAAACGTATAAAATTATCAGTGCGCCCCTCCTTAGTCGACCTGGACAACCCATCCTCCGATAGGTCATCCATATCGGCGCCGTGCTTAGCGTGGACGCCCGATCAACATGAGCAGCCATATGCCAGAACTCCGGGTCCCGCGAAATTCCACACCCTGGCCTCCAAGTAGCTACATTACAGGCGTACGCCACCACTCCCAGTGTCGGTGGCATAGCGGATCATGCATATGGTCCGGGGTTCGATCCCCAACCGACGCACTCCTTTACCTCGCTAAGCCAATAATAAAGCTGGTAAGGAGGAAAGGTTGTGCAAGAGGCTAGCAACCCCATCTTGTAAAAATAAACACTGCTACAGACACTTGAAGCTCTATGTTCCACTGGGAACGTGAAGGAATACAAAAAAATAAAGCAAAATTATCAAAACAGCATGTATTTATATAGCGAAATTGCTTATCACATTCGTGTTGACTTTGTCATTTCGTGGGGGAGGGTGTGTGTGTGTTGTAACCAGCTCAAGTTCTGTTTTAGTCCATCATTCTTATTGAGACAATTTGGATTCCATTTGATATGAAGTGCTTGCGATATTAAAAGTTCTCTGTAATTTCTGTAATCACCAACCATAGGTCTACACACTACGGAATCAGGTCACAAAATTGATTTTCACAATATTGAAATAATCCAGGAAATGCTCAAAAATGAAAAAAAACACGAATGTGATAAACAATTTCATTATGTAAACACACGCCGTTTTAATAGTTTTACACACAACATATCAAATCCAACAATCTCTACACCTGGTTTTGTTATCTTTACCAATTAGCCAATTCGATAACGCAAAAATGACCCTATGCTGAGGAACAATGTGCGTCGGTGGCACAGTGGTTAGGACTCTCGCCGACCATGCACATGGTCCGGGTTTCGAGCCCACGCCGGCTCACACCTGATATCTATGGTCGGCCTGCAAAATTTGGGCTACCGATATCCATGCTGAAAATTCCATACTTGTACCAAAAATACAGTGTGGAATCAAGCTGTAAATCAAAAAAAAATTGTTATATATTAACTGAGATTTACTAAATTCTGGTTTAACAATACTTTGATAAAGCTATTAGCAGCATTAAATAGAGAAACGTCAGTAAAAGCTGTAATATCGTTTTGTTTTTCATTCATTGGGAAATACATAAAAAACCTTTTTTATAATGAATATCATATACCCAATGCCCAAATTTTTTCAAACTGTTAAAAATGAACTTGGTTTCGACATACACAAGGTGTAAATAATTTCGCTATGTGGAGACACCAAATTCCAAATAAACATTCCCTTTACCAACTATATATATATATATATATAATATCTTTGAAATTACAGCTAGAATACTAAACCCATTTGAAATAGATACTGCACACAAACTAACATAATCACTACATTCAGTGCTGTTTAAACCAAAAGACCCGATAGCAAACAAAAGAAAACAAGATTAACACATCATATACAAAATAAATTGCATGCACTGTGATAAATATTACACATTGGTCAAAGTGGACAACCCCTTCGACTCAGAGCATAAACTAGCCGTCAAAAGATGATGCGATATGTATTCTTTGATTATCACTTTATGTAGGATACACAATTATGATCACCAATGTAGAAATTTCAAATTACGAAGAACATCGAAAATACCAGGGAATTTTGGAAAACCCTGATACTCAGACGAACCAACGATCCAACAGATAAATTACTACAGATCAAGTTTACTAACTAATCATAGAAATACAGAAGTCACATGATAAAAAAAGTTCAAATTTCAAGTCAATAAAAACGATTAATAAAGGTGTAAATTAACAATCAATTACGACAAAGGTTTTCATGAGATACAAAATATATATATATATCAATATTCATAGAAAATTCAAATAAGCTCACTTCATATTAAAGCTTTCGCTGAAGATGCTGTCTAGAAGGACAACGAAAGCCTCTCAATTAAACCACAACTCTCAGTTCAGAGAATGCAACCAAATCAAAATATGGGGCACCCCATAAATAAACTCCGTAACTGTTGACTTAACCTAAGCAGTACTGGGACATAGGCTTCTTAATTAAAATTTTTGAAGAAAATCAGAGTAGATGTATGCAATGCCCGTGTGAAAGTGTTCAGAATCGATCACAGTAACACAGATGCATTCATGTATTATCTTTATTTACATCACGATATATACCTTGCCTGTCTTGACCTTCGGTCCTCTTTAAATCAAAACAGGCAGTGTAACTATTCTTGTCGTCTACAAATGTGAGCTCAAAGTACTAAAAATAGATCAGGCTAGTACATGCCTCCAACATCACAAATTATTCATTCTTCAAGTGCGTATATCAGACTGGTTTATCTAGCAAGAACCGAATCCCTACAAACCAATACTTTTGAATATCAATGAGATGCTCACTAGCGACTTACCCTATTCAGGTAGGTAGTTACCTGGGGTTCTAGTGAGAAGTCGTGACCAGTAGGGTGCAGCAGGTTGGGTGTGAGGACAAATACTTACCGAAGACACTGACTAGGGGTCGCGCTGTGTCGTGAAATGGCAGAAGTTAGAATTCATGGACTAGACATTGAATCGGGGGTCCCAGTGGCTTAATGGTCTACGAGCTCGCCTTGTAACCAGAAGGTCCTGTGTTCGAAGCCTGGTGGGTACGTACTAATGAAGAGCCCCAAATTGAACTGATGAAACAGCTGGCTGTCCAGTACTCCCAGGTTTTCCAATGGTTCTCTAACCAATGTCAGCTCATGATGAAATCCTGTAACCAATCCACCAAGTCCCTACAAACCAACACTTAAACTTCTTAGATTATGTCAATAAAGAACTTCAAGTGACTAGTTGAAATTTCCGTCTCTCTCTCTCTCTCTATGGCACACACACGCTGCTGAACAGCACTGTCATAGTACATAGAAAAAGGAGATTCAGTAGAAAGAGAACAACCTAAAGGTCAGAAAAAGGAGGATAAAAAAAGGAAAACATTTGGTGAATCAACAATACTAATTGTATCTACATCGGTAAGTTGACCACCTCTCACAACCAGATCACCTGACACTGGCTGGTCATACGCAGTTTTGAATAATGATTAATAGTAAAAAAAAAAATAGGTTACATAGAAACATTTTGGCATTTCCCTATTTGATCTCATCATTACATTTCCGGGAAAACTTCATCATTTGATTTTCAGCACTCCAGTGTCATTTACTTTCAATAACTTATACCAGGCAAGAGAGCAGTGGATATCACATTAGCTGAAAGATTATGTCTATCGCATTCCCAGGAAGTACAGCACAAGACACAACACCGAATACAAACTACAGTCATTTATTTTTTTTTAAAAAGAAACTTACTGTCAAATTTTGGTTTTACTGAAAAGTTTTGTGAAGGAGTTGGATCAAATGGTGGGAGATCAGGAAAACTTGTTTTTGGACCAACTGGATATGGAGTATGCCGTCTTGCCTGATCACGTCTACAGAAAATCACCAGAATTATAAAAAACAAAATAACATGAATAAAAGCGCCAAAAAGTAATCGATCGATATAATGTATTTTTCATATTTAACATTATAAAAATCACCTTTCTGAATGGAACACACAGCTTCAATGTATAGAGTTTTCAGTAGAGGTGTCTTTTTTAAAGGTTTGCTGTTGTTATTCCTACTCACAACCTTCCTGATTTTCAAGGATTACTACCAATTAGGCAGAGTTCAGGAGTGTATCAACCGAGAGTCGAACGTCTATCATCTCCTGTGTGTCGTCATCTTGTGAGTATTCTATCACTGTTCTATTCGACAATGGACAATACATCTAGAATGATATGACATAGTAATGCCTTCTAGAATGAGTGAGAAAAAAAGACCGCAGCCAACTGTTCTTTATTGTTAGTTATCACAAGTCACACCAGAAGACAATCTGATTTACTTATATTTCGGCGACGATTGTCGACACTAATGACTGAGGGCATCTGCACCAAAGAAAGGACTAGACACATCACATTAGTTACTAGTGTCCAATCGAAATATCCACTACAGTCCTACAGGTGGTCAGTCGCGAGATTGAATAGCTCAGTGGTAACGTCTCTGACTGCAGCATTGATTGAAGCGAGTTCGAATCTCAGAAGGAACATGAGTTTCTTCAAGGTTGCAGACACGCCTTGCTGATGAGTGCCAACTAGCACGAAACCTAGGTCCAAGGCTTCCTGGCGATTGCCTCCAACCATTTAATACCATGTGCGTCGGTGGCACAGCGGTTAGGACGCTCGCCGACCATGCACATTGGTCAGGGGTTCGATCCACGGCCAACAGCGCACTCATTTACCTCGCTAAGCCAGAAATAATGCTGGTAAAGAGGAAAGGTTGGGCATGAGGCTAGCAACCCCATCCTGCAAAAATAAACACTGTTACAGAAACTTCAAGCCGCTAGCTTGAAGCTCTATGTTCCACTGGGGAACGTGAAGGAAAAAAAACATTTAATATCATCCACATTTCTTCTATTTGTAGTCTCGTTCAATTCCAAACACTAGGCACAGCTTAAAGTTCACTAAAGAAGTCTAATATGGGATTGCAAAGATGCAGTCCCACAACGCATTATAAAACATTTACTAGTTAGTTAGGCAAGGAAAACAAGTTAGAATTCTGAAGAAGAAGAAGAAAGAAAAAATTATTACAATAAACAAACAAAACAAAAGGAAACTCTGCCACAGTTAGTCGACATTGCCATCAAGTTCACTGGTTATGGATGTATGTATGTGTGTATGCAAATGTGCGCGTATATATATTTCACATATCTTTAAATATTTTACGCTATTATGAATGCCAAAAGAAAGAACAGATGTACCGAGAGAAAATCAGAGAAATGAACTAGCGAGCCTACCTATACAAAATAAACATATATAGAATTGGAAATGTGCTATCAACCACCAGCACCCAAATAACCATATAATCGATAAATGTTAAAAATCATCCAGAAATTAGTGCAAATTACTATAAAAAGATACATGCACTAGTAAAAGAAGAACATGAAAAAAGAAACAACAACTACTACAACTAGAATTCAGATAGAATATACAACAGAGGATAAAAGGTATCTGTTAGTGAAAAATAGAGAATTCCTTTTATCTACAAGCCTGTTGTGTGTGAGTGTGTGCATATGCATGTGAATGTGCTTCAAGACTGATACAATATTTTTCGTATAAATGTTGTACAATAGTAATGAGAAAATACACGTGAATAGTACTCCTGCAATCATATGTCAGTTGTTTACAGGCAAAGAAGGTGAGGTTCTGAAGTACTGATAGCGACATGCTGAAAGCTTTATACACAAAACACCACCAGGTAGAATGGTAGAGCGTACGACAAGATATCATCACTGGTGTACTCAACTAACAGGGGAGTTAGAGATAGGGTTGCCCAACCTCAAAGTCGTCTACAACACAATACGAAGTAGTCTTCCTAAAGATGTGCGAATGAGACTTCTTCAAACTACAGAAACAATGGCGATTCACTTGCTAAGTCCTGAATTCTGCATACAGAATAAGTTCGTTCAATCACTACATTTGCAATGGATGTAATCTATCTTATTACCCGACAAGTAAATTCTACCTAATCCTTTTCTCTTCTGTCTCTTCAGTATTATTATTATTATTATTATTTTGTCTTCTCAATTATAATATTTTACATTTTCAACCTTCTTGTCCTCTACCCCTATGCGATTTAATTCCTGCATCTCACTACCACTGTTACTGACTTGACCAACGCTCAATTTCTAGTCACTTATGTTAAGTCATCCAACTTATCTGTTCGATTTCAGTTCTAATTTAAATGGCATTATTCTCTATCCCATTTCTACTTAGTCTCTCTCTACCTGTAATTACTTCTGTTGCTATCCTAACCTCAGTTGAAACATTTTAGTCAATTATATTACGTCATCTAACTTACTAACTAACTAATTCAGTCTTACTTTAGTTGCTGTCTAATTAACCTTGTTTCTATATTAGATCATTCTTGTATTACCTGATTAATTACCCGTTCTAAACTTGACAAACTTCATGTACACATACACACAAATAATTATATTATATAAATGTGATTGTACAGCTATGTGAATGAATTCGCCGTCGAAGAGTCTCTTCGCTAAACATCTTCTCTTTTTCATATGACTCAATGGAGATTTTTAAGCTACTAAACATTTCTCTTTAACTTTGTCATCGATGACATTCTAGAGGCAGCTCTGCTTATAACAGGAATCCTTCTCCATCGGGAGTATGCAGATGAGATCGTTTCACTATGTGATAATACACAGGCTACCCAAACCACACTTAATCAATTGGTGGTTAGTGTCTGCAAATATGGTATGTATGACGGGGTAGAGTGTTACTGCACTCACGCTTATAGATGAATCGTTAGAAGCAGCCGACAAGTTTAGGTACCTAGGTAGTTGTACGGGTGCTATTGAAGATATGGTGGATGAGATCTGAGACTATACAGTGAAAAAAACGACTCGCCAAATGGTCCTGAGCAAACAATCAGGTTACATGACCAAATTCATTGACTATTTAGCCATTTGAGTAGGAATCCAAACTTCTGGGGTTTATCATGTCAAGGCGAAGCAGATGCTCATTGAACGTATTGGCTGAAGATAGCGCTACACATCACGAATTGACAAATTCAGAATTTATGGGTTGTTGAATTCTGAATCAAGTATCTGAATGGTCAACGAGCTTCGTCTCGTAACTTGAAGCTACTAGTTTCCATCTCTGGTGGGGGTGGGTGGGTGAGCACTGATGAAGAGACCCTGATCTCTTATTAATGTTTGTTCATGACGAAATCAAAATTGAATTTAGTATAAATCCCTGCAAATAACCCATAACCCGATTAATACATTATTATAAAGCGGCGCGGAATTATGCTCCTGCCCATCCCAAGCAAAATACTAAGCCGCATCATCCTGGAGAGAATCAAACAAGCCCTGGATGAAAAACTTCGACCGGAACAAGCTGGATTCAGGAGAAACAAGTCATGTATTGATCAAATCGCCACTCTACGGATCATCATTGAACAAAGCTTGGAATGGCAGTCACCTCTCAGCATCAAAAGTAAGATTCGGATTTTCAACTCTTATGGGAAGTCAGTCAGTGCTACTATACGGATCAGAGACTTGGTGCGTCATAAAGAGCATCTCAAAAAAAACTTCAGACCTTCATTAACTGTTGTCTTCGCTCAATACTTAAGATCAGATGGCTGTCCAGAAAAGATCAGCAATAGTGAAGGATCTCTGGCAATGAGCGAACCAACCAGAAACCGATTGTTCAGCAAATATGCAGGAAGAAATGGAGATGGATTGGCCACACTCTGAGAAGAGAAACCATCAAGTGGCATCACTAGACAAGCCATCGCTCGAGTGGAACCCGAAAGGGAAGCGGCGAGTTGGTCGTCAGTGAGAGGGTGACTTGGAGGAGGTCATGTGAAGAGGAGATGAAAGCATGTGGGCGGACTTGGAGCGGAGTGAAAACGTTGGCAGAAAACCGAAGGCAATGGAGACGCGCAGCTAAAGCCCTATGTTCCTGTAGGAATTAAAGGGTATAATAATAATAATAATAATAGTAATGAAGCGGCTATTCTGATTAGTTGTTCAAGGTCACTTGGTAGGTCATTTCTTTACGTTGTCACCAGTTCAAAATTTACGAACAGTTGAATTAAAACAATAAGTAGTACATTAAAACACAAATTGTGATCAAACCTATTGTGACACATCATTTAATACACACAACACAGGGTGCATGTTAAAACGAAAAGAACAAGAGACTAAAATACTATTTTGTTTTAAAAACCCAGAACAATAACGAAAAGGTAAACGAGAAAAAAAGTAAGCATGCATACTTTCAATTCACATGATAACATTTAAAGAATGACTACTACACAAACACACATAAGGACCAAGATCATAAAAATAATCAAAAAGAGATAGCAATATTACTGATTAGCGCGAAACACAGAGATAAAGCGAGAATTTCAAAAATCTTATTAAGTTGATCCTAATTAGGAAACTATGTAAAGTTGATGCAAGATTACGCTAAAGTTTATCAATTAAGTTTAAAAAAACAACAAAAAATATGGATACACAAAGTGTACTGCACACATTTAATCGATAAATCAGTATAGAACACTAAAACGCTAGAAAAACTATTCACATGAAATTCAATATTAACGGGAGAAATTTGACGGAGGTCATTTTTTTTCAATTATCTGGGCAGCACCCGTTCTACAGTAGGAGGAACGGATAAGGATGTTAACTATATTAGACCACAAAGGGAAGACAGATCGTCATTACTTTGGAATCAATTCCTGGAAATCTGCTACAATCAAACGTAAAGAACAAGCTTAGGATTTTCAATATCAAGAGTCAATGAATGATTTCATGCAGTTCAGAGACTTGGTGGACACGTCACAAAAAGTATTTCCGAAAAACAGC